TTTAAAAGCTAAAATAAATGGATTTGTATGGAACCTGACTTAGCTCAAGGAATTAAAAATCAAAAAGTTAGAATTCTCATTATTTAATTTTGAAATTTTTAAATCCGCTAATTGTTCCTTGACACGGAAGACACCATCTTTTTTATTTGTCTTTGGATTAATATTTTCTTCTTATGCAAGATGGGTTGATGCATTAAATGTCTACCCTTCTATCCTCCTCTCTTCCTCACCTTTGACCCAACCCCCCAACCCCAATCTTTGCCCCTTGGATACACAAGAATAATAATAATATCCTACAAAAAGTAGATTAGCATATTTGATTACTGAATACATAATGAATTAGGTAGAGGTCGTATTTATTCAGGTTTAGCATAATATTAAACCTCAAACTTTCAGTTCTTCCAACAGAGTTAACTAAACTTTAACAAACTAAAAATATGGCAGAAATATTTAAATTTTTATTTTGCTTTTTAAAAAACTTTTTCTTTTCCAAAAGAAGAATTATTCGACTCCTTTACTTTTCTAGCTGCTTGTCTGCTCTATTTTTTTTCTATTTGTCTACTTGTCTGCTTGGCTGCTTGACTGTTTGTCTTCTTCTCTGCTTGTCTGCGTGTCTGCTTGTCTGCTTGTCTGCTTGTCTACTTGTCTGCTTGTCTGCTTGTCTGCTTGTCTGTTTGTCTGTTTGTTTGCTTGTCTGCTTGTCTGTTTGTCTGCTTGTCTGTTTGTCTGCTTGTCTGCTTGTCTGCTTGTCTGCTTGTCTACTTGTCTGCTTGTCGCTTGTCTGCTTGTCTGCTTGTCTACTTGTCTGCTTGTCGCTTGTCTGCTTGTCTGCTTGTCTGCTTGTCTGCTTGTCTGCTTGTCTACTTGTCTGCTTGTATGCTTGCCTGTTTGTCTGCTTGTCTACTTGTCTGCTTGTATGCTTGCCTGTTTGTCTGCTTTTCTACATGTCTTCTAGTCAACTTGTCTGCTTGTCTACTTGTCTGCTCATTTGCTTGTGCGCTTTTCTACTTGTCTTCTTTTCTACTTGTCTTCTTTTCTGCTTGTCTGCTTTTCTACTTGTCTGCTTTTCTGCTTGTCTGCTTACTTCTTTTATTCTTGTGTGCGTTTCTTCTTGTCTGCTTGTCTACTTGTCTGTTTATCTACTTGTCTGTTTATCTACTTGTCTGTTTATCTACTTGTCTGTTTATCTACTTGTCTGCTTTTCTGCTTGTCTGCTTGTCTACTTGTCTGTTTATCTACTTGTCTGTTTATCTACTTGTCTGTTTATCTACTTGTCTGCTTTTCTGCTTGTCTGCTTGTCTACTTGTCTGTTTATCTACTTGTCTGATTATCTGCTTGTCTGTTTATCTACTTGTCTGCTTCTCTGCTTGTCTGCTTGTCTACTTGTCTGTTTATCTATTTGTCTGTTTATCTACTTGTCTGCTTCTCTGCTTGTCTGCTTGTCTACTTGTCTGTTTATCTACTTGTCTGTTTATCTACTTGTCTGCTTCTCTGCTTGTATGCTTGTCTACTTGTCTGTTTATCTACTTGTCTGTTTTTCTGCTTGTCTGCTTGTCTCCTTGTCAAGTATGGTCTAGAGAGGGAGGGGTGGCTGCTCTCAGGGTTTTGGAATTGTTCCCAGGGTTTTGGAGTGGGTGAATTTTCACATTTTACTCCAAAACCCTGGGAGCAACTCCAAAATCCTGGGAGCCCTCCAAAACCCGGGGAGCAATTCCAAAACCTTAAGAGCAGCCCCCCCCCCCCCCCCCTCGTCTAGCAGACCTCCTGTATCAGATTAGCCCCAAGGATTCAAGCTAACTATAGTTCTCTCAGATTTTGAACCAATTGGTCCATTCAGGTGGATTGTACTTATATACTGGGTGGTTCATCTTCAACTATTGTAAATTACAGGGTACCTAGATAATATCTGATCGGAAACCACAAAACTATCTGTTGTTACACCCCCTCCTTCATTTCATGTTTTATATTCCTGTCTGTGTATAATTATATAATTAGTTTAATTAAACCCTGTTACTACTTACACACCTTCCACACCGTGGATAATTTACAGATTAACTTCTTTCTACAATTACGGAGAAAAAGAGATATATTGGGGGTCTCTTCAGGCTTAAACATGGATTGATTACAGGATATAGAACTATAACCATGTTCAGATTCCCTCCCCTCCCCCTCCTCTCCTACATTTTCCTTTTCTAAAATTTTCAAATCTCTTTCATCTGAGTCTGATATAAATTTGTACCTTGCCTCTGATTTAAATTCCTCCCTTGCCTTTGATATAGATTCCTCCCTTGCCTCCCATTTGTATTCCTCTCTTGCCTCCGATCTAGAATACTCCCTTGCCTCCAATTTAAATCCCTCTCTTGCCTCCGATCTAGATTACTCCCTTGCCTCCAATTAAAATTCCTCTCTTGCCTCCAATCTAGATTACTCCCTTGCCTCCGATTTAAATTTCTCTCTTGCTTCTGATCAAAATTTCCAAATTGCCTCCGCTCTAGATTCCTCTCTTGCCTCCGATCGAAATCCCTCACATGCCTCCGATCAAAATTATTTGCGCCTTCATCAAATAGAAATTTCTTTTTTTGTCTATTACTTTGATTTTCACAGATTGCCCTCAAGTTTCTAATGTCTATATGTATCTATGTGTCTAATTCTTGAATAATATAAAAATTTAATCTTTTCAACTCACGAAATGCATGAAAATGAAGCCAAGGGCTAACTCAAGTTTCTTAAAATATTTCAGAATTAATGAAGCAATTATTAAATTTATCAATTTTTTTCTCCTTTTTTGCAAAATAAAATTAATTAAGTTTAAAGGTACTAATCTCACGTTGGGTCGATTATACGGACTTAATTATTAATTCACATGAAATATTTGCTTCAATAGAAACTCCATTTCTCCCTCTCAACCCCCTCCTGCTGCCTCCCATACCCACTCTCCCTCTCCTTACCCCCTT